GAGGTCCCTAGGACCATCGAGGGAGAAGAGCAGAGAGCGGGATCCTACCCAGAGAAGCAGTGATGCCTGAAATGGAGCCAGAGATGATGACACGGAATGATGGAGTAGCTGGAGACTTTAGATCCAGAGAGGGAGAGCGACTGTGTGCTGAAGACCTGGAGGGGTACTGGGGAAGGATTGCATGGAGGGGATTGTAACCATGGCAATGAGAGGATATACGATAGAATGAATGTAAAACTAATGTTCTCCCATGTAAACTATCGTATAATTCACAATAAAACATTTTTAAAAAAAAAAATGTCTTACGCAGCAGATTTGCCCAATGCAATGCATCGTCTGATTTCTTGACTGCTGCTTCCGTGAGCGTTGATGGTTGATCCAAGAAGAATGTAAAGATTACTAGAAAACCCTTTGGAGCAGTTCTATTCTGTCACATGGGATTGATATGAATCAAAAATCAACTACATCACACGCAACAAGAACAATCTTTATGGAAGCAGGTCACCATACGGTGACATATGTGGGTTCAAACCACCAAATGTTAGGTTAGCCCAAAACCCTACTGCCATCAAATTGATTCTGACTCGTAGCCATCCTATGTAGAATTTCTGAGACTGTAAATCTTTATCTTTACCGGAGCCAATGATAGCCTCAACTTTCTCCTACAGAGGGGCTGATGAGTTTGAACCTCTGACCCTGCAGTTAGGGGTCCAACACCTAAACCACAGCCCCAGCAGGGCTCCGTTTTAGGTTAGCAGTCAAGGGCATTGTTTGTGCCAGCCTGCTGTTACTAGCTGGTTACTAAATACATGAATGAATGAAACACCCAGTTCCTGACCTCCTTCACCTGGAGGGTGGGTATTATTCACACCCTTGGCCTCCTCCTTCAGGTACAAGAGCCTAGGATTTTCTCTTCCCCAGCTCACTCAGTTGGTGGTGGTGGTGTCATGAGTCATTTCCAGCTCACAGTGCCCAGTCCTGCACTAGCCTCACAATGGTTGTCACGCTTCAGCCCGTTGCTGCTGCCACCATGCCAATCCATCTCATTGGAGGCACATAAAATAGAAACCTTTTAGCAGGTTCTCTAGCCAGCCTGGCCTGCAGTGTTTTCTTCTTGAAAGGACGGATTTCATCTATAGCTCTACCTTCAGAAGCAGCAGGTGTGACCAACAGCAAGATCAGGGACAAATGATTGCCACCACTCCCCACCTTTGGTGCTAGGTGTGTGCACTGTTTGCCATCCCACCAGCTTCCGGTGCAGCCATACCACAGCCTGTTGTCACAGGGGGGCTCCATTTGCAGGTGGATGGCAGCACCTGGGTGCCCTTAAAGAACAGAAATGGATTTTGTCATAGTTCAGGGTGTAGGCCGGCCGTGTTGAGTCCTTTGTTGGTGGTGCTCCCGAGTGACTTCCCCAGTATTTGCATGCTTGTCTGTGACTAAGGCGTTCTTTTTAGAATGCTAAGACTTATTTGATTTAGAATCCATCCTGCTTGCTCTGGTGGCGGTGCAGAAGCACTGGACTGTTAACTAACTGCAAGGTTGCCAGTTCAAATCCAGTTTACTCCCATAAAGATTTACAGCCTCCTTGAGTTGGAATTGACTTGATGGCATTGTTTGGTTTGGTCTACTTGCATGTAATTCATTAACAAAGAAAACCCTGTTTCCAAACAGGATTACAACCACAGAATAGGGGTTAGGATTCCAACACTTTTTATTGAGGGGCTGAAGGGACACACATAATCCAATTCCTGGAGTTATTTTTGGGGCGTTGTTAAGTGACATCGAATTGGTTCCAACCCATAGCAGCCCTGCATAAGGTTTCCAAGGAGTGGCTGGTGAGCTTGAACTGCCAACCTTGCAGTTCAAATGACTTTGCAGTCTGATGCTTTAGCCCTCAGCACCACACCAGGACTCCTTTTGGATTGTATTTATATATATTTTCCCCATAACTTAGTGAAGGAGGAGACAAGAAGCCAAAGCCTGTTACCATTGATTTGGTTCTGACTCCTGGTGACCCCATGTGTTACAGAATAGAAATGCTTCACAGGGTTTTCCTAGCTGGGACCTTTACAGCAGATCGCCAGATCTTTCTTCTGCAGTGCCTCTGTGGGTTCAGGCCACTAGCCCATCATAAACCGCTTACACCATCCAAGGACATAACGGGATGAGAGGCAGTGGGAAGGCTGACAGATAGGATTTCCTGGGGAAGAGGGAGCATCCCACCTTTGAGGCACAGGATTTTCATAAAGGAGACATCTGGGGGCCAAGGATCAAAGCTGAAGCTGTGAATTTAGTGGCATGCCAAGGTTGAATGAGACCTGTAGCTCCCGGGCTCGCTGTCCCCGGGGGTGGGGGTTAGGTATGACAACATGACATCTATGGCTGCCTTCCCCTCATGAACACAAGGTGTTCAGAACAGCACCCACACACTGGAAGAGGTGGGAGCGGGACTCCATTTCCTTTCTCACTCCCCTTTAACTCCACTGTCCAAGTCCAGCTCCTTAAAGGTCACTCTGAAACTTTCCAGGCACATCTGGCCTCGGGTCTCTCTAGAACGCAGCCTGCCTCTGCCACCTGCGCTACCTTCGACTCCAGAACGCCATGTTTCCAGGAGGCCCTTTCAGGACCTTCAGTGCCCAGGGCTTTCTCCCTCAGACGAGCACTTAGCTATTTTAACATCCACTTCAGGGCACCTGAAGGCCTGCCTGGGACTGTGACCTAGCCCTGCACTGCCCTCAGCTTTCAGATAAGCAGCTAGGCTAAGGAGAGAGAATTCTGGGCTGCTGCCCAGATGTCTGACCACACCCCCTCCCTGGGGGTCAGACCCAGAAACCTACTCATGTGCTTCTTGCAGGCCCTGGAGTATGAAACTGGCCGGGGAGGAATATGGGAGCCCCACTCCTGCAGTGCATCCTGGGATTGATGGAGAAAAGTCCCTATTCTGTCCAGACAGGCTTTGGAGCCCTGGGGGAACAGCTCACCATGGAACCTTCTCTGATTCAACATTTACCAAGACGTATGGATCACTGGAAAGCACTTGGCGCACGAGGACTTGGGGAGGTCCTCCTGTGGATGTTGGGTACTTCAGGGTCACCTCTAGGATTACCTGTGTATACAACAAAGCCATCCCACCCTTCCTAACACCCCATTGTGCCTGGCCCACCTACTGAAGGGAGGTGGGGTACTGGTGTGGGCCCAAAGCAGAGCGGACCGGTCCTTCTCAAGTTTACCCGTCTTCCTTCCCCAGGCTAATCCCGCCCCATCCCTGTGGGCCCGCCCCCTCACAGTCCTCTCCTGTGGATTGGCTACTCCCCTTCCCTTGTCGGAGCACTGTGTTCCTCCAGATGCACTGACTGTCCCTCCCAACTGGTCTGCGCAGTTCAAGCTCCCCAAAGCTCCAGAGCTTCTGGAATCCAAGCTTGGAAGAGGTCCCCTGCTCCCAGCCCTCTCCCAGCGTGGCGTGCGGGGTGCCCCTCTATGGGTGGATGGGACTGCTCCTTTCACACTCCCATGGCTTTCCTTTTGTTGTGTTACTGAGGTCAGAGAAGGAAGGGAGGTGGGTCCTACACCTAATCACCTGTGAACTGTCCAAACGGTGCAGACAGACAGAGGCACACACAGGCCAAGACGCCACAGCCCAGGAACATCAACCACTGTCCGCAGCTACTACAAGCTGGAATGGATAAAGAGCCACCTCTTGCACTCAAGAAAGGCAAGAAAATACAGGTCTGTTCTTTAAAGCCCCCCACTTTGGTGGTGGTGATGGTTGATCTGGCAGCACTATATGGCTAAGTCAGCCAAGGATGTCTCCAGACCCCCTGCCCCAAGTCATCTAACTTTGCACTGGGGACAGCGAGTCACCAGGGGTGTGAGGATTGGTACCCTCTCCCACCCTGGAGGTAGGCAAAGTTAGGAGAGCCAACACCAGCTGCACCCCAAATACAAGGAAACCACTGGACACTTCAAAAATGAAAGGCAAGCTCCCAGAGCTGGATCTATTCATCATAAATTAGGTCACAGTCTCCCCAGGGGCTCCGAGGAGGTGAGGCAGGGTCAGAGGTAGGGCTGGTCCTGGGACAGTTCCCACGGCTTCACTGGAGGAGCTGGGGTCACTGCCTTCTTCTCAGTGGCTGCTACCGAGCTGGAGGGAGAGAGGCTATAGTGAGGGTCGGGTTTCGGGAGGGAGGCGCCCCCACACCATATAAATGTGCTGCTGAGCACCCCAATCTCCATGTGCATCCAGAGAGCCATGTGAGCTCAGGCGCTCCACTCACACCAACGGGGCCCCTCAAAACATTCGCCGACTCTGCTGGGATCAGCCAAGCCCGCTTTCCACCCCTGAACCTCATGTCTGCCTGCTCGATTTCTGGGCCCAGAAGCCACCCATGAAGAGCTAGGCTTCTCCCCCTACTTGTGGTTCCACCTCCCTGAGCAGCCTGGTGATGGGTGCCCACTGTTCTCCACATGAACAGCATGCCAGGGACGGGACAAGGATGCAGCCCTCAGTCCAAGAGATTGAGAGTGGGTACAAGATTTAAAGACACACCGAGGGCCTGGGGTTGGACTCCTGGTGTAGGATCTGCACTGGGCTTCGAACCACAAAGTCAGCAGTTCAAACCAGCTGCTCCTCAGAAAGCCTATACAGGGTTGCTAAGAGTCAGAACCGACTTGAAGGCACTTAACAAGCAAGATGAGCAGCCCCCTTACTGGGAGCCTCCAGGAGGTAGAAGAGGAGGGTGGTCTGCCACACTCTCATCTAGATTTAGGTGACCTGGATGGTCACGAGGACCACTAAAGAAAACCCCAAACCTGTCACCCATTACAGAGCAGAGTCGCTCCATAGGGTTATTTTGGTTGTCTTCTTTACAGGGGCAGGTTGCCAGGTCTTTCTTCCAAGGCGCTAACTACCTAGCAGGCCAGGGCTTCATCACTCACAGTCCTGGCCCCACTTACAGAGATGAGAAGGCCGAAAGCCTGGCCCCGGCCACACAGTGAATCAGCTGAGGGCTACGCCAAGCTGTGGGGCCAAGCAATCCTGCTCCTGCTGTATGAACTCTTGGGGCCAAAGGGACTGTCACCACCTGACTCACGGAGCTGTGAGAGGGCAGGCAGGACATGACTCTGTGCGGACTCCTATCTTAGAGTTAAGAAATATTCATTATGACTACTCCCCGAGTCCGGCTGTGGTGCTGCTGCAGTGCTGCTGCAAGATAAGCACTGGACTCCTAACTGCAAGGTTGGTGGTTCAAACCTACCAGCCACTCCACAGCAACCCTATACAGGGTCACAGAGTCAGAACCAACTTGTGGGCACTTGACAACGCCTATCAATTCCCAACTAAAATAAAAAAGGCTGGCAATTTGAACCCACCCAGAGGTACCTAGGAAGAAAGTCCTGGTAATCTTCCTCCAAAATCAGCCAATGAAAACCTTATGGAGCACAGCTCTACTGTGACACGTGAAAGTGCCACGACGGGGTCATCAGAATCAGCACAATGGCAGCTGTCTGGATTAATTAAGGCAAGACTACTGAGGCCATTGACCAGAATCCGTCAGGAGGATTACCCCTCACATCAGCTCTCTGAGACAGAGACTATATAGGGCTGTCTCCATGTAATTAAGGTCCTGAGGGGCCCGAGACTTCCAGACAGACCTCACTTTATTGCGCTGTGCAGATGTTGCGCTTTTCACAAATTTTTGTTACATTTTGCAAGTCTGTCAGCACTATTTTTCCAGCAGCATCTGCTTACTTTGTGTCTCTGCCACATTGTGGTAATTCTCACAATCTTTCCCACTTGCACAATGCTTGTTGTTGTCGGGTGCCGAATGATGAAAGGAAATAATGTTTGCCATCGAGGTGGTTCTGACTCACAGTGCCCCAGTGCACAACAGAACGAACCTCGCCCGGTCCTGCTCCAACCTCGCAATCGTTGTTACACTGAGCCCACTGCTGCTGCCACTGTGCCAATCCAGCTCGTTGGGGCTCTCCTTTTACCCCTGGCCCTCCACTTTATCAAGCATGATGTCCTTCTCCAGGGACTGGTCCCTCCTGACAATATGTTCAAAGTATGAGATAGGGTCTCCTGGCTTCTAAGGAACATTCTGGCTGTACTTGTAAGACAGACTTGTCTCTCCTGGCAGTCTATGGTGGTTTTAATCTTCTTTTCCAACACCATAACTCAAATGCATCAGTTCTTCTAGTCTTACTCATTCAGTGTCCAGCTTTCACATGCATATGAGGCTACTGAGAATACCATGACTCAGGTCAGGCACACCTTAGTCCTCAAGCTGACATCTTTGCTCTTCAACACTTTACAGAGGTCTTGTGCCGCACATTTGCCTGATGCAATACGGCTTTTGATTTCTTAACTGCTGCTTCCATGAGTGTTGATGGTTGAGCCAAGCAAAATGAAGTCTTTGATAATTTTAATCTTTTCTCCATTTATCATGATGTTATTTACTGATCCAGTGGTGAGGATTTTTGTTTTCTTTACACTGAAGCACAACTCATACTGAAGGCTGTGGTCTTTGATCTTCATCATTATTTTAAGTCCTCTTCGTTTTCAGCAAGCAAGGTTGTATCATCTGCGTATCAAAGGTTGTTAATGAGTCTTCCTCCAATCCTGATGCCATTTTCTTCTTCATATAATTCAGCTTCTTGGGTTATTTGCTCAACATACAGACTGAGTTTAACTATGGTGAAAGATACAACCCTGGTGCATATCTTCCCTGATTTTAAACCATTCAGTGTTCCCATGTTCTTGATCCGTGTACAGGTTCCTCATGAGCACAAGAAGGTGTTTGGAATACCCATTCTTCGCAATGCTGTCCATAGTTGATCATGTTCCAACCTTCACAATACTCTTAAAATACTTAATAGAGTACAATATGCAGTCCTGGTGCGGCATTGTGGGTTAATCTGCTGCACTGCAAAGTCGGTTTAAACTGCAAGGTCGGTGGTTCAAGCTCATCAGCTGCTCCTCAGAAATCCTATACAGGGTTGCCATGGGTCGTAACCGACTCGACGGCACTTAACTACAAGAGTACAGTTTAATGTAAACATCACTCGCATATGTACTTAGAAACCAAAATATTCATGACTTGCTTTATTTCCATATCCAGTTTAGTGCTGTGGTCTGGAACTGAACCCACAATTGTAGGCCTGGTATACAATTCTTAACAGCCTCTTTAAGAATAACCAAGAACCACAACCAGTCACCTTCGAGTCAGTGTGAACTCATGATGAGCCCACGTGTATGACGGGAGACTGCTCCGGCGCCCCAGGATTTTCAATGACGGACTTTTCAGAAGTAGCTCACAGGGCTTTCGTTTGAGGCACCTCTGTGTAGACTAAAACTTCCAACCGTTCAGTCAGCAGCGGAGCATGCTCACTGCTGTGTGCCATGAGTGGACCCGGCGTAGCGTAGTGACCCTGTAGAGGGTTTCCGAGGAGTGGCTGGGGGTCTGAACCGCCGACCTTGCAGTCAGCCCTCAGTATTTATCTTAGAACATCAGTCCAAGGCTCCCTAAAGAACACAAAGTTACAAACACAACAACACTCAAGCCTCTCCTATGTTCTCCCATGACACCCTGGCCTGTGTGAGCCAGGAGCCCTGGTGGTGCTGAGCTAAGTAACAAGGTGGGTGGTTGGCACCCAGCAACCACTCTGTGGAGAGAGATGTGGCGGTCTGAGTCCACAGAGATTTACTGCCCTGTAGGGTAGTTCTACCTCGTCATACGGCAGGGTCACGATGAGCTGGACTCTGCAGGAGGCCTGTAGGAGGGGGACATGGGCCAGAAAACACCTTTTTCCAGTTGCAGGGGAGGGGAAGGACTTGGGGACGAGGTGACAGAGGGCCTCACCTCTCTGCTGCCTTGCCTGACACCAGCGCCTTCTGGGAGGACATGATGACCGAGGGAGGTCCAGCTTCCCGGCGGCCATCACGAGTGCAGTAGTAATTGTTGGAGAGCTTGTGGCTGGGGCCCACGGGGAGCTTGGGAGGAGGCTGGGTTCTGCGGAGAAAAACACAGGGAGTTAGAGCCAACTGACAGTCTCTCTCGCTGTCCTGTCATCGTCACCTCCATCATGGCCACTGGGACAGGTGGGCAGGGGCCTCCCTTGGTGCTCTGTGTGCTGGACGTATGCTTGGGGAGCGGTCTAGGGTTCAGAACCCAGACAAAGCTGGTAACCTCAGTTCTGAATGGAAGGTGGTGGAAGACAAGGGCAAGGTCTACCCCACCATAGGCATCCAGGGTCAGAGGCAAGGCTGGTCCTGGGACAGGAAATGAGGGCCAGAGGGCAAGACTCCAGCCACCACCCAGCCACATACTTTGGCAACAGCCTAGACTTAGTATACCGTGACAGGCCTTTTCCCAGTGGCCCAGAAGCCCTGCCTCTCCTGGCATCTCGGGAACTCTCTGGGACACCACCCTGTTGGGGGTCAATGCTTCCTACTCTTAAGAGCTGTGTGCACCTGTCCTTGTCCCTGCTTCCTGCAGCCAGAACAGCTTGGGCCCAGATGAGCCCTGGGCTGGATTTCTAGGAAGCCTGAAGCCTGGAGAGGAAACACTAACCTCCTTGCCAAAGACTGGTCAGGGGAGCTTTCCTGGGAGACACAGTGGGTAGAGAGAAGGCAGGGAAGATGGGAAAACTCGCAGACACCAGTTTTCATTTAACTTCTTGTACACAAGGTTGGCAGTTCAAACCCACCAGTCACTCCTTGGGCACCATGTACAGAGTCACTATGAGTCAGAAGTGACCTGAGGGCACTTAGCAACAACTCTTGTATGAAACTGGAATCTAGTAATCATTTTGCCAGGATTTACGTTTTCTCAGTGCTAGAAATCGTCATGATATTAAATAAGGAGAAGAAAAGTCTTACCATTAAGATTGATATGTTGTCCCCACTGAACTTTCAGTGAAAAAACAGACAAGCCTGCAGGATAGACAATCACACCAGGGAGATACACACCCCTTAGAACAATCGACCTTCTGAGATCAAAGGCAGCACTGACGCAGAAGGCGGGCAGGAGTAGGGGAGGAGGATGGAGTGGATGGTCAACACAGGGAGGAAGGAGGATGGAGGGGACGGACAATACACACAGGGAGGGAGGAGGAAGAGTGTTACTCCTCTGGGCGGCTGCAATCAGCAGGAATCGACAGGTGTGGACTGATGACTGAAAAACCCTTAATACTCTGAAAACTTTCACCCAAATCACAATAAAAAGTTAAAAACAACAACAAATAAAGAGCTAACGTATTGTACAACCATCAAAACCTGCTTAGCCCTTGAAGTGCAGAGATGACTGCTGAGGCAGCCAGAGCTGTCTTCACCCGACACCAGGAAAACCCGTTACCGAGGAGTTCACTCCGACTCCTGGCGACCCTGGATGGGTCAGAGTAGACCTGGGCTTTATAGGGTTTTCAAGGGCTGATTTTCCACACACTGATTGCCAGGCCTTTCTTCTGAGGTACCACTGACCTCAAAGCACCCTTTTGATTAGCAGATGAGCTAACTGACTGTCAGCACGAACATCAAACCAAAAACCAAGCCCACTGCCCTGCTGTGGATTCTGACTCATAGGACAGAGTTTTTGAAATTGTCAACCTTTAAGGGAGTTGTTTTTGTTAAGTCTTTAAGTTGGTTTTGACTCACAGTCACCCTGTGTAGGGTTTCTGACGATGTAAATATTTGTGTGAGCCGAAAGCCTCATCTTTCTCCTGTGGAGCAACTAGTGGGCTTAAACCACTAGTTCTCATTCCAGACAGACTCACAGTTCTCCTGAGGGACTGGGGGGTTTCAATCACCAGCCCTGTGGTTAGCTGCCCAATACTTAACCAGCAGCATCACCAGGGCCCCTTGTGCACCAGTACAAAACCATGCCAAATTCACTGCGCTGACAACAAGTCGATTCCAACTCATTCCGAAGCCGTAAATATTTATGGGAGCAGAAAGGCTCATCTTTCTCCATCAGAGCAGATGGTGGGTTTGAGCTGATGACCTTGGGGTTTACAGTCCCGTGCTTATCTTACAGCGCCACCAGGTACTAGCACCGAAAAGAATCAGGGCCTGCCAGGAAAAAATACCCAGATGAATCACTAGAGGGCGCCGCTACCCTACAGAAAAGTGAAATTTTACAAATCCATTTTCCTCTACTGGCCCATGTCTTTTGTGGTCCTGTAGGCTAAGGCACTACAACGGAAGGTCAGTGATTCAAACTCACCAATCACTCCTCCTAAACCCTATACAGGGTCACTACGAGTTGGGCTAGTAACCTCAAGGTCAGCAGTTTGAAACTACCAGCTGTTTGTTCTACAGGAGAAGGATGAGACTTTCTGCTCCTATTAGGATTTACATAGTCTCAGAAACCCTATGTAGGGTTGTTATGTGTTGGAACCCACTCCATGACACGCCACCGCCACCATAAGTTGGAACCAACTGGACAGCTCTAACAAAACCCTGAGAGAAGAGCAATCCAATACTTGGATTTGAAATTTGTTATATTAAGAGGTTCACATAAATTTGATTATTTCCATGCTATTTTTCTTCCTTCCAGAGCAGCAACCTTAACCCTTTGAACTCACACACCACTATTCAAGTTACTGGATGATGCAACAGTTAATGCTAGCTCAGCTTGGAAGTTGTAATCCACCCAGCAGTCCCGCAGAAGAGCCACTGGAACTTCTTTGGGGCGCAGTTCTACTCTGACACAGAGGGGGTTACCTAAAGCCAGAGTTGACTCCAGTCATTAGTCTGGGACTGGCCGCAATGGTTTTCCTTTCTACTTCGGTCTCCCTGTCATCATTCAGACCTCAACTAAAATGTCAGTCCCTAAAAAGGGACCTTTCCTGGCCACCGTCCAGCTCACTCTTTTTTTGTTTATATAGCATTGCAGAACAGTGGTGTTTATTTCTCTACAATGTTTCTCAGAAATGTGGATACAAACATTTATTGTTCACAATGTTACCCTCAAGGCAAAGGACAGGGCAGGGCAGGGTCTTGGATAACGATCAAGTCGGTTTTCCACATAAGAGTTTGAAGTCAAGATACTGGGTGTCCAAAACCCAGCTATACCACTTTCTAATTTCTGAGTGACTTTAGGTAAATTATTTCGTCTTCCCAGGTCTCAAGTTTTTTCTTCTGTAGCTTGTGGATGAGAATAGCTGGCAGGGTCAGAGGGAGGACACCAAACCTAGTAATGATTCACATTCAGAAGGTCCGCTCAGCCAGGCTATTTCGTGGGCAGCCACGCCCCCAACTGAAGCTAAGTGGACACCGATTTTGTTTTGGTGGGACATGGTCAGGGCAGAACCGGGAGCAGGGCAGCCGGCCAGGTCTGCTCACCGCTTGGCGATCTCCTGGTATCGCAGCTGCAGCTTCGCCTGCAGATCTTGCTGTTAAGAGGAAAGGGAGGTCAGGCAGCAACATCACTCCCCTGCCCCCACCCCAAGGAGGGCAAGTCGGGGAGTAGGGCAGATCCGGGGATGGGGAGATGGGGACAGGGGGTGAAGTGGAAGCCGGGGGCCGGGACCCCAAGATCCAAGACTAAGGATTTTGGGACTGGGGAGGTGCTAGCTCTAAGTGGGTCCCCAACCAAGAGAGGTTCAAGGATTGAAGGATGGCACGGGCAAGTCGTGGGCTGAAGGAGTCACGAGTTGGGGGGTCCCGGGAGACCCTGGTCTGATTAGGGTCACGGTCCTGAAATAGCCTGGACCGGAGACGAGGGTGTTCCACACTAGAGTGATCTCGGCCCTAAAGCCCTTGGGCTTAGCCGTTCAGGAGGTAAGTGAGCAGCGGGGGATGGGTCTAAAAGCACGTAGCCCACCGCACCCCCCCAGGGCGACCCTGCCTGCCCAGCGCACCCCGGATGCCAAGTTCCGCAGCCGCTGGATGAAACGAGTGGCGGACGCCATCTTCTCCCCGCGCTGAAGGGCGTCAGCGACGCTTCTACCGCAGGGCCTGATGGGAAGGGCGCCATGTGCTATCGCGAGAACGGAAGGGGGAGGTGCTTGAGGGTCCTATAAAGGCTCTACTCAAAACACGTGACTCCTCTCCGCTCGATCCCCGCCGCGCCGCCATCATGGACACCAGCCGTGTGCAGCCTATCAAGTTGGCCAGAGTGAGCCTGGGACTCGGATTTGAGGGTCGGGGTGAAGAGGGTGTATATGGAGGGGTCGGCGGGCCAAGTCTGACCCCAGTTTCTTCTCACCAGGTCACCAAGGTTTTGGGTAGGACCGGCTCTCAGGGACAGTGCACACAGGTGAGCGGATGGGGGCACCCCGACGATTCTCTTGAAACCGGATGTGTTGGCGTTAAATGCCGTCGAGTCTGTGGGTGACCCCCGTAATGCCCCAGGCCCTGGCCATCTAGCAGTTGAAGACCGACATTGCCTCTGCCCCGGGTCTCCCAGAGCCCTCAAGAGTCCCCTCCATCTGGGGTCCGAGCCTCCACGACTCTCCTCGGATGCCCGCCGCGCCCTTAACTCCCTCCCCTTCCCCTAGGTGCGCGTGGAGTTCATGGACGATACGAGCCGCTCCATCATCCGCAACGTGAAAGGTCCGGTCCGCGAGGGCGATGTGCTCACCCTATTAGAGTCGGAACGCGAGGCCCGGAGGCTGCGCTGAGGCTGCTGGTGGTGGGTACAGAGGATTGATGGAGGGGAACCTTCGCGAAACCCAGGGGATTGTTGTTACTAAGTGCTATCGAGGCGGTTCCAAGTCCTAGCAACTCAGTATAGGGTTTCTGAGCAGCAACCGGTGAGTTTGAACCTCCAACCTTGTTCAAACCGACATTGCATCTGCCAAAACCACTTGGAAAGAGAACTAGCCTGGGGCCAGGGGCTATCTAAGAGCCCTGGTGGCAGCAACGTTTGAGTGGGTGATGGGAAGAAGGGATCTGGCATCCTGGTCACTTAAAGATCACAGCTGAGAGAACTTTGCTGTTAAAGTGCGGTTGAGGAGCCCCTGGTGAGCTTGAACCCATGACCTTGCAGTTCAAACTGGCTTTGCAGTCCAGTGCATTAACCCACAGCACCACAGCAAGAAAATTCTAGGGCTGGGTTAGTTACGTAGGAGCTGTCTGAGCATAGTGGCCTGCCAAGGGAGTCTCATGCTTGGGTCTGTTTACAGGTGGTCCTGGATGCCTGGTCCACTGCTTGGCCTGCGAGGATGCTCCACGATTGTTCAATAAAGCGTTTATATTGTATGTAAACTTGAGTTCTGATCTGTGTTGTCTACTAAGGTTGGGTTCCCTGTATAAAACTCCTAGTCTTGTCCCTAGGGACACACTCTGGAAACTGAGTGTGTGTCTGGAGGGGAGTTTGTTTTTAATGTTTGTCAATGCGCGTGTTGCTCTGCCACCAGTTCCAACAATTGTGACGATGTTACAGGACCTATCGCTTTGTTGTACGTGGGGCTGCAGTGAGTCAGAGCCGACTTGATCACGACTAACGAGAGGTGGGTGACATCTGCCGTCATAGCTTATTTAATGTGCACATGGCTGCGCCCTTCCCTGACACTGAAACAGCCATCCTGGTGGGTACATCACTGAGGCTGGGGGGCCTCTCCGCTGTCACTGCATCCTTCTTCAGCCTTGGCCATGGAGTCGGGAGGTGGCTGCCGAGAGAGAAAGGGAGAGAGATGACAGTGACCCTGCAGCACACTCTCATTCCACAGCAGCAGCCATGATGGGTCTGAAAGGTCACTCTGAGCTAGGTCCTGGTGGTGGTCAGCTGCACCCTGGGTGACCTTGGCCAGGTCACATCCCTCTCAGTGTAAAGTGTGCCAACTTTGGAGACATCGCGCTGGTTAAACCACAGATTCCAACCACGTGGAAACCAGACAGGTTTGGCGGCCCCTTCTGGAACACAGTTGTACCCTCCTGCCTGCAGCTGAGGGACTGCACTCACCGGAGTCCCTGGCTGTCCTGCACTCAGGTGGGCATGCAACAGCGCCGCTACCTCATCTTGTTCTGCTTCCAGCGCGATGGCCAGGGCACTGGTGCCCTCCTGAGGGGCCATGAGGGACAGTCAGATCCCTGCGCCACCGCATGGGGCTCCCCTCACCAGCCCCCCAGAGACTCACATGGTCCAGGATGGCGGGGTCACAACCCGGCTGGGCCAACAGCAACCGGACAGTATCCAGGCGTCCATATTCACTGGCGCACATTAGTGCTGTGGCCCCATCCGCGTCCTGGGTGTTCACATCAGCCCCGCACGCCAGCAGAGCCGCCACCATGTCCTGGTGGCCATGGCTGATGGCCAGCATGAGAGCTGTCTGTCCTGTCTGAGGGGATGGTGTCGGTAGGCTTCCTCAGTGGCATTCCCACCACACATGGAGATCAGGGTATCCACTCACCTGACTGGCCTTGGCATTGACGTCACCCATGTGGAAGAGCCTCTGGACCACAGCCATGTCCTCCTCCTCCCTCCCCACGGAGGTGAGTGCTGCCAGCATGGGGGCCGAGTAGCCAGCTCGATTCTGCCGGTCCACCTCACAGACCCCTGGAAGAGAGGAAGGGGCTTATCAGCAACCCCGTTCCAAACAGGCCCACTAAATGCCCCATGCCTCAGGTTCGCTTTGTTAAGTGCCATCGAGTCGGTTCCGACCCATAGCGACCCTGTACAGGGTTTCCGAGGGTGTAAATCTTTAAGGGAGTAGAAAGCCTCATCTTTCTCCCGTGGAGCGGCTGGTAGTTTCGAACCGCTGACCTTAAGGTTCGCAGCCCAATTCATAACCACTACGCTACCAGAGCTCCTGGTTCACTGGTGGGGTTAAATATGAAGAGACTGCATGGCAAACAACTGCGGGGGAGGTAGGAGTCGAACATAAGGATAACAGGAACTGCGGTTCTAGGGGGCCGCTAGGGAGAGCAGGTGCCCCGAATTCACAATCTTCTGGCTTGAACTGTGAGAAAACCTCATTAAATTAACCACTACTTGAATTGTAGTTAGCAAATAACCATCAGGTAGAGGGTGGTCAGTCATGCATTGCTGTCTCCTCACAAGGCCCCTCTCTCACCTTCTAGGATTTGCTCAAATCTGGCCTCAGTGAAACCTTCCATCCTCCCAGTTTCAATCTGCCTATCCTTCCTGTATTTTACTCATTGACTTTGTTTCTCTGTCCCTTGTCCTTAAGATCCATAAAAGAACATGGTTTTGTACACTGATGGAGTCCTGGGGTAGTGCTGTAGGATAAGCACTAGACCACATGGTTAATTTGAACTGCAAGGTGGCAGTTCAAATCCACCAGCTACTCAAATCCTCTACAGGATCACTATGAGACACAACCTACTCAAAGGCACTTAACAGCGACAGTCCCGATTGCTCAGAACCTTTGCTAAGTGCTGTCCAGTTGGATCTAACTCTGACCCTGCACAGGGTTTCTGGGAGCAGCTGGTGGGTTTGAACTGCCAATCTGGCAGTAAGCCACTGCTTATCCTACAAGGACACATCAGGATCCTGACACATAATAAACTGAAATACAAAACCAAACAGTTCAGCAAGCTCCACAGGGTTTCCAAGGATGCAGCTCTTTATGGAAACAGACTGCTACAGCTTTCTTCCTGGTCGGTGGCTGCTGGGTTTGAACCCCTGACATCTTGATTAGCAGTTGAACACATAACCATCGCACCACCAGAGCTTTTTGGCCTGTGATTGTGTCATCGACTCAGTTGACCCTGTGTAGGGTTTCCAAAGAGCAGCTGGTGGGTTTGAACCACTGACAGCAGTCCAGTGCTTATCCTACAGTACCACACCAGGACTGCTTGCTCAGTAAACATTTGTTGGCTGGCTGGTCTATTATGGGAACTACTCATTCACAGTCCATCGGTTAAGTGCTCAAACACTAACTGAAAAGACAGTTCAAACCCACTGCCCGAAGAACCTTGGGGTCTAAGAGTTGGAATTGACTGAAGAGCAGCTAAACCTAATCCAAGCTATCATGGTGGTTCTGGAGATATGATTTAGCCTCCACTTCAGTCAAAAGCAGTGCAGTTCAGAAGTCCCATCATTTACGTTCTTAGAACCCTCTGTCTCCGTGTGTCCTCAGGTGAGCCTGTGCTGTCTAGCTTCTGTTCCCTCTTCAACTTGGTAATGCTGCTCTTCCTGAATTCACACAGTGGCTCAGTTTCCTCTTGGGTCAGTTCTTTTACCAGTCCAAACCTGTGGCACCTACCTGTTAAGGGTCTTGTTTACTAGAGTGCTTGACTGAAAGCTTATCTCTCCCCCACCACTCTGAAAATGCTCAGAGTGGTGATGAATGGATGGGAGGGAAAGAGAAGAAAGGGGCTTGGGAAAAGGCTTTGAAATCAGGGCTACCGATTGGGTGCCCTGCTGAGGAGGGAATCAGATGGTGGACTGAAAAGCAAAGAGACATGTGGAAATGAAATTTAAATGTCAGGGCGTTCCTTCACAAGCTTCTATGTGGACGTATTGGCATGGGGAAAGTGCATACAGAAATGACCATAGTGGAACCTTGGCCAACTAGTCAGGACCCTTCCTAGCAGCCTCAAGATCTTGGTTCCATTTCCTGATGGCATCCTCTGGTTTTATTTTGTCATGTCCCTTCTCCCTAGATGAAATTATTTCATGTTTTGACATAATTATCCCCACGACACACACGCAAACACACAAAGCCATGCACTCAGGAGCAAAGTTCAGTCTTTCCACAAACACATGGTCTCCTGGGTGCCACCCTGGGTACACCAGGAGAGCAGGATGAGGTTTGGAAATATACATGAAAGAATTGGTGAATTGAGACCAGAGAAGGATGAGCAGGGAGCAAGGATATGGGTAGGGGCTGCAAAAGGGGGTGGAAACAATGGGTACTTGTCCTAAGAGCTCCAAGGAATGTTGGAACTGGAGACAGCTGAGAAGTTGGGAGGTGAGAGAAGACAGGTGCTAGAACATGGATTACAGAAGGGGAGCAGGTACTGGTGACACCAAGGGCTAGGAGTGGCCTTGGAAGTGTGAGGCTCGCAGGTCAAGCTGAAGGAAGGGAAACAGGTCATGGAAAGGTGGGGCTAGGAGGTTGGAAGGTCGGTGAAGAGGATAGTGAAATTGGCAAGGATCACCATGAAGAGAGGGTGCAGGAGCCAGCGATGAGCATAAAGAGGGATGTGAGAAATCAGAAATGATAACCAAGATGGATGGAGGTTGGACAGAGGTCTCATCCAAGGAGTACACGGGAGGAGGACTGAAAATGCAGGGAAAGAGCAAGGAGGACACAACCACCTCAGACCCAGGGCTCAACAGCCATAGATGGGGCTGGGGCAGATTTCCTCCATAGCAAGCAGGTGGTTCAAGCTCACCAGCTGTTCCTTGGAAACCCTATACAGGGTCGCTATGGGTCAGAATCAACTTTGATAGCACTTAACAAGGCAGAGGGGATACTGGTGGGGACCAAGAAGCGGGGTCCAGAGGGCAGGGCAACCGTGTGGGAATTTGCAGCTGAATGACGGTGAGTAACCAGGGGATAACCTGGGGAGTCCTGGTGTGGTGCTATGGGTTAATGCGTCAGACTGCAGTCATTTCAACTGCAAGGTCGGCAGTTCAAGCTCACCAGCTGCTCCTTGGAAACCCTATACAGAGTCGCTATGGGTCGGAATCACTCAATGGAACTTAATAACAAAGGTACCTGGGGTACAAATGGCTAACAGGTTTAGCTGCTAACCAAAAGGTTTGTGATTCAAACCCACCCACAGGTAACTTGTTAGAAAACTGTTGAGCAACTTCCAAAAACCAGCTATTGACAACCCAGTGGAACACATTTCTACCCTGACACACTTGAGGTCGTGGTTCCCAGGATGGCATGAACTGACTTAATTCACTGTCCCCTCTCCCCCAAGCCCTGTTCCCAGGCCAGCCCCACACAGTGTACTCTTGTTCAGTTCACCAAGACCAGGAGGGGTGTGGACAGGGAGAACGATGGGACCTCAGGATCTGAAAGAGGGGACCCAGGGGGGATCTTGGAGGACAGTGATCTGTCTAGCTTGGGTCATGCCCTGTGTTCTGTGTCCCAAGGGGAAACACCTGCCCCTGGTACACAGGAGGTGCTAAGTCAATGTCTGAGCTCAACCGTCTGCCCCTGGGTGTGTGTATTTGCTGGGGTGAGGGGCCAACAAGCAAGAGACAGGTGATAGAAACATGTCTAATGGAGCCAGTGCAGGAATCTGGGAGTGGACAAGGTGCCCCTAGCCCAGTCCTGGCCTGCGACTACCTCCCCTGGAGGCTGGAGAGGAGGCTGGTAGCAGAACATGACTTCAGGTAGTTTGCTGCCTACTTGCTGCCCGTTTCACAGATACACAAGCCGAGGATCCTGCCTGTTAACATTCCCCTCAACTGAGGCCTAAGGAGCTCTGGTAGCATAGTGATTACACGTCGGCTGCTAACCACAAGGTCCGCAGTTTCGAAACTACCAGCTGTTCCGCGGGAGAAAAATGAGGCTTTCTGCACCTGTAAAGATTTGCAGCCTCGGAAACCCCGTGCAGGGTCACTATGAGTTGGAACAGACTCCATGGTACTTAACAAAAACAAACAACTGAGGTCTGCCTAACCCCACATTCCCTCCATGGCAAAGCAGGCGGCGGCTCAAGGTTGAACTGGGGTGGGAGTGGGGGGCCGGGGAATAAAACGGCCCCTGGTGGTTGATCCCTGCCCAGGAGGATGAGAGCAGGTTCAGCAGTGCCCTGTTCCCAGTCTGCCCCTCTTGGTGCCTCTCTCCAAGTTCCCCTAGCCCAGGCCTGCCCAGGTCCTACCCTCCCCCACCCCGCCACCCCTCACTCGTGGCTGTCCTCATTCCCCTCCCCCTGGCGCTGACCCGTGTCCAACAGCAGGCTGGCTATGGCCAGGTTCCCATGGGACACGCTGTAGTGCAGGGCTGTGTTCCCGTTGCCGTCTGCCAGATTCACCACGTGCGTCAATAGCTCAGGTCCCAGGCGCGCCACCGCGCCCAGCACCGCAGCCACTGGCGGCGCGCGTGAGCGCCGCTGGCTGGAAACTCGAAACCACTCCTGGGCCACCAGGCGTGCCGCACCCTGCCGGGACAGGGGCAAGAAAGAGCGTTATGACCCAGAGGTTGAGGTGCCTGGGCACCTGACTGGGGCAGCCCCTTTGATTACCGTCTAGGGGTAGGGACACGAGAGACACCACATCCATGGGGGGTGGAGGTGGGGGAGTCAGTTGGGGTCCTCGAAAGGCGTGGCCTTTCCTACAGGAGAACCTGGAGGGGACAAGGCTTTGAGTGCTAGCTCTTGGGAGTTCCAGGAGTGGGCGTGGGGCGGGCCCCTATTGGGTAACGCTGGTCGAGGCCCCCTTAGGAGAGCCTGGGGTCAGTGGGGGCCTCAGGCGTGAGGAAACGTGGGGGGGGGGCGCTTGTGATGCCACTTGTAGGAATCCCCCGGACTTCCCCTACAGCAGCATGGGGGAAGTCTCTGGTGGGGCCCTCCACCACCCCGCCCCGCACTCACGCCATCGCGGGCCAAGCGGGGCCGGTTCAGTTGTTGGTGCAGCGCCGCGCAGGCCTCTCTCAAGCGAGGGCTCACCTCGCACCTGCGAAGGAGGAGGAGATATGCTTAAGGAGTCGGGGCGCCTGGGGGACACAGAGCCCAGCGCCACTCACCTCTCCTCCGTCCCGGGCTGAGGCTCCACCTTCGCCTCCGCCTCAGGGTCTCCAGCATCCTCAGCATCCCCATCGCTGGGAGGGCCGGGATTGCCGGGATCCGATCCTCCGCCGCTGTCGTCCCCAGAGCCTGAGGAACTGCTCCGAGGGGGCTCGGCAGCGCCATCGTCACTGTCGCTGTCACTGGCTTCCTCGCTGGAGGAGCTCTCGTACCTGGGGGGCAGGGTGGGAAGCGTCTGCTGAACCTGCCCTGGGGACTCGTCTTGGAGTCCTGCCAGGCGAGGGTGGCTGTTCCCAGTTTACAGATGAGGAAACTGAGGCTTGCCAAGATCACGCCGCGAGGGAAGGGCAGACTGCGAATCCCAGTCTATGTCCCCCAGATGCTGTCACGGGGAGTGGGGAGGTGCTCACTCTCCGTTAAGGACCCCAACGAACTGCAGACTCTTGGTGCTGGGACTGGGCTGAGAGCCTGATGTGCCGTCTCTCTTCTTCATGATAGATTTGAGAACGCCTGGCGCGAGACAGAAGGGGACATTGAGTCCAGGCTGGGCGGCCGGCAGGGACAGACCAGGGCGCAAGGAGTCGTCAGGACATACCGGCGGGGGCCACGACAGGGGGCCCTTCTGCAAACTGGGGCAGGCTCTCGGATATCAGCGAGTGGGCGTCTTCAGAGAACTCGGTTTGCGTGGCCTTCTCCGCGCAGCCCCACGAGGTCTGGGTGGCGACCTCGCACGGCTGCACCCGGGTCCCCAGCGCCGCATCCTCTTCGGCGGCTTCACGGGCCTCCTCTAGCTCACGCAGTCGGCCCCGAAGCAGCTCGCTCACCCCACGCTGGTGCTCCAGGCCGGCACGAAGCAGCTCCAGCTCGCGTTCGGCGGCCTCGGACAGCCCAAGAAGCTCCTCAGTCACCCAGGCATCCGCCTCGGCTGTCTCGGGGGCCACTTCCACGCCAGCCTCCTGCGTCTCTGGCGCCGCCTCCACGCCGGCCTCCTGGGTCTCCGGGGCCGCCTCCACGCTGGCATCCCGGGTCTCCCGCAGCGCCTCGGCGCCTTCCTCCCGGGGTTGGGACGCCCCGTCGGAGACCTGGAGTGTTCCCTCGCGGCGCCTGGCCACCGAGCCGTCTGGGCTGTCGGCCCTGGGGTCAGCTCTGGCACGGATGCCGCGCTCAGAGGTGGCCAGGCGCTCCGTGAGCCGCCGCAGCTGAGCTAGCTTGGCCGGGCGTGCTTCCGCCTCCCCGTCGGGCCCGGGCTGCGAGCGCCCGGCCAGCAGCCGCGCCTTTTCGGCGCGCAGGGCGCGCACCTGCTCTTGCAATTCGGGCAACGCGCGCGCCTGCTCCTCGAGCTCGCGCAGGCGCCGCAGGGCAGCGGCCATCTGCTCGCGCACCAGCTGTAGTTGCGCCGGGCCAGGTGAGGCGAGGGCGGGGTTGGGGGCGGGACTGCTGAGACCCGATCCGCGCGGGCTGAGAGAAGCCGCGGTGCGGGCAGGGCTGAGCGCACGTTGGTGCGTTTGCTCTAACTCCAGCCTCCGGCTAGTCTCCAACAGCGTATGCTCGACGCGCGGATTGCGCGCAGGCACGCGCGGTGACAGTGACGGCCGCAAGAGTCCCAAGGGCGCGCCCGGAGCTCCACCATCATCACTGGCCAGGGACTCGCTCGACGTCCAGGCGCCCGGGCTGCGCGCGCCTGTTAGGTTGGGTCGGGACGCGCGGGGACGGCGTGGGGGTGGGGGTCCCGGGGCGCGGTGGGCGACGGGGCCGCGCTCCAGCTCCTCCACGTACTTGAGGAAATCCAGATCCAAGTGGAAACCATAGGGCGTCTCCACAGAGTAGGGCGAACTCGGGCTGCGGGAACCCCCGACTGGGCCTGGGCATAATCGAGGGCCTCCCAGGTCTGTGAACAGGATCGGGTGTGCGGACCGTCAAGCCGAGAAACTGAATGAAATTAGGTGCACCCTGCCACCCATAACGCGACTGCACCACTCCCCTCATGCCAAGTCCTGCATTCCCATCCCCGGAGGCACAAATTCCTATCTGCACCCAAATATTTATCTATGATGTGTTTAGTCAGCATCTGCTGCTGTCAAGCACTTTCTAAGGCACTGGGACACCGCAGTGGACAGACAGTTCTCTAGGGACAGGACTGAGACAAACAGGGTCACCTCAAATGTTGCTAAGGACCATAACAATAGTAATCCTAATAATTCAATCCAGTTGTGATCCCCGTGTATGTCAGAACTGTGCTCCAGCAGCTGGTTGTTTTGGAAATGAATTGTCAGAATTGTTTTCTAAAGTATCTCAAGTGGTTCACCTTGTCAATCTTACCCAGGTTACCTGTACCACCTCTGGTGGGTGTGGCTTTGGCTTTGGTTGTAAGGGGAGGTTTTCTTCCAGGGGACTATCAATTGAGGAAGAAGCTACTGGGGATAGAAGTTTCCAGGAGGAAATGCCACATGGGAGTGAGGTTGGGTGTTACAGCAAAATGGAGAGGAACTGGAGAGGTGGGCAGGACCCTAAATCTTGTGGATTTCCAAGAGGAGTTGGGATTTTATTCCACATATGACAGGGCACCCTAGTTCAGCAAGATTGTAACATTATCCAAGGAACCCTGGTAGCACTGTGGGTTAGGCACTGAGCTGCTAACTACAAAGTTAGCAGTTCAAACCCACCAGCCACTCTGTGGAAGAAAGATGAGGCTGTCTGCTCCCGTAACGATTAGCAGTCTCAGAAACCCTAGGAATTGAGTGAGGGCCGTGGCTTGGGGTTTGGGGTGGGTGTTTAGAAAGGCCCCTCTGGGCACTTTGTGGAGAGAACTGTAAGGATGTGTCCCTGTGAGGATCTGTGCACATGCATGTCCGTCTTCACATACGTCCATATTGCACACTCACCAGGTAGGTTCTGGTTCAGGACAAACTTGGCCATGGTTCCTGGAGCAGCCGCCAGATACACCCTGAAAAAAAAAGTCCCCAGAGGGTAGAGTTGCCCGGCCCCAACATGACACCTGACAATGAGACACTGCCCATCTTGAGACAAACCCTGAGGTCAGTCATGTCTGACTAAACAGCTCCAAGTCTCTCCCACCTCCCTATAGAGGCTCTGAAATGTAGAGTTGCTTGACCCCCCAGGAGCCAGGCCTTCATCTCCTGGACAGGAGATCATTTTAGGAGAAGAAAGGAAGGTGAATTTGAGAACAGGAGTAGCTAGGGCAGGGGGCATTCCTGGGGAAGATTAGAAAGCAGTGCTCAAAAGGGTGAGGTGTGAACCTTTATAAAAGTCAGGCCTTTCGTGGAGGTCCTTCATGGGCTCTTTAAAAACACACCTGGTTTGATTCAGCGAAAAAGTCAATAGCATCTCTTGAATGAGATTAGGAAACTACAAACAAGGTATCATTGTATATCTGAATTCTGAACTTTACTCAGGTTTCTTGGGACACCAGGAAGATGGAGAGTGGTGGGCTGAGAATACCAAATTGTAGCTGTTGTTGTTATGTGCCGTGGAGTCGGTTCCGACTCATAGCAACCCTGAACAGGATTTCCGAGGCTGTAAATCTTTACGGGAGCAGAAAGCTACATCTTTCTCCCGCTGAACAGCTGGTAGTTTCGAACTGCTGACCTTGCAGCCTGCAGCCCGATTCGTAACCACTATGCCAGAGTAGCTGTAGGTGTTGTTAAGCGCCATCGAGCCGGTTCTTACTCATGTTGTTGTTGTTGTTAGGTTCTTACTCATAGCGACCCAGTATAGAGTTTCCAAGGAGCGGCTGGTGGGTTTGAACCACCAACCATGTGGTTCAATCCAGGCTTGCAGTCCAGTGCTTTATCTACAGCACCACACCAGGACTCCAGGATGTACCAAGGATGCAAATTAATAAGCACCTGTCTATCTGGGAAGTCTCCAGCGGAGTGCCACAGGGTTCTGTCCCTTGGCCTGTAAAAGCTTGTCCAAGGGCCACAGGCACCCAAGTTGTCCCAGCAGTGAGGTTGGGTGTTGTGTGGGCTCTAAGAAACTGAGGAAGATTGAGCCATGAAGTCCTGTTGTGGCACTGTAGGATAAGCACTGGACTAGACCGGACCACAAGGTCCTTTGACCTGCAAAGCCACTCTTCAGACACCCTATATAGCAGGGGTGAGGAACTTTTTTTCTACCAAGGGCCATTTGGATATTTACAACATCATTTGCAGATCATACAAAATTATCAATTTAAAAATTAGTGTGCACTCCTGCTAGAGAGTAAGACCCCCTAAGAACTTGATTGAACCTCAGCATAGTGATCCTGCTTGGTCACCTTAGAGCAGGTGGTGGGCTGGCAACGTCTTGTGTATGGGGTCCCCAGCCGATCTCCTCCCTCCCTGCCTTCCTCGGATGGCGGCTGTTTATGCTGGACGTGTGGCCAGAGACGGGTAAGGATCACGTGGAACCTCGGCAACCTAAGACAGAGCCATTGCCATGCTGCAATGAGTTTCAATGACTGGTAAGACTGAGGAATTCGCACTGACCGCCTAAGACAGGCAGCGTCCCTTAAATAAACAATAAATAAGGGGGAATCTGATGCAGACCGTGCAGACCCGGTCAGGAGGTCAAGACCCTGTGGGCCCAAGCGTTGTTGACCGTCCAAACCATAGGCTCTGAGGATCAGACTTTAGCCACCTAGTAGACATAGCAAACTGTCCCTCATCTGATTATTCAGTAATGCTTGTTAGTAATCTCATACATGAGCCCTGGATATCCACAGACAAATGTAAAAACCTTCCCTAAAAGCCGAGACTGTAAATTCCAAAAAGGCAAGTTCCCCCCAACCCAAATTTAAAAAAAAGCTAAAGAGGATAGAGAGAAATACTGTTAACTGATGATATATGGAGGGGATAATAATCAATGTAATGAAACAAGCTATATGAATGGTTGAATGTGAAGCTGATGATGTGCCCTGTAAACTTTCACTCAATCCAAAATAAAAACATTTAATAAATAAATAAATAAATAATTAGTGTGCTATATTTGGTCAAACATTTAATTAACTTACTCCTAATGTGCTGATTAAGGAGCTCTGGTAGCATAGTGGTTATGAATCGGGCTGCAAACCTTAAGGTCAGCAGTTCAAAACTATCAGCCACTCCACAGGAGAAAGATGAGGCTTTCTGCTCCCGTAAAGATTTACAGCCTCGAAAACCCTGTACTGGGTCGCTATGGGTCGGAACCGACTTAACGGCACTTAACAACAACAACAATGGGCTGGTTAAGGAGCTCTGATAGTGTAGTGGTTGTGAGTCAGGCTACGAACCTCAAGGTCAGCAGTTAGAAACTACTAGCTGTTCTGTCGGAGAAAGATTTACAGCCTTGGAAACCCTATACAAGGTCGCTATGAGTCAGAACCGACTGCATGGCACACCACCACCACCACCACCAATGTGCTGGTTAGGAGTCCTGGTATGACGCAATGGGATAATGCACTGGGCTGCAAGGTCAGTTTGAACCGCAAGGTTGACAGTTCAGACTTACCAGCTGTTCATTGGAAACCCTATGCAGGGTAGCTATGAGTTGTAACTGACTTAATGGCACTTAACAACAATGTGCTGGTGTGGTGCTGTAGGATAAACACTGGATCCCAGGTGGTTTGAATGGCAAGGTTGGTGATGCCAGCTGCTCTTTGGGAACCCTATGGTGGTGGTGGTGGTGTGGAGTCATGTGCTGTGGAGTCGGTTCCAACGTATAGTTGACCTTGTATAGGGTTTCCAAGGCTATAAATCTTTATAGGACTAGAAAGCCTCATCTTTCTCCCACGGAATGGCTGGTAGTTTCGAACTGCTGTCCGTGAGATTAGCAGCCCGACTCGTAACCACTACACAACCAGCGATCCTTTGGAAACCCTATACAGAGTCGCTATGAATTGGAACTGACTCTAAGGCACTTAACAACAACAATGTGATGGCTAGAACTGCAGTTGCCCTGACAGCGCCAGACAGAAGAAATGATTTCATGAACCTTGGCACTATAGGACAAGCACTGGACCTTAAAGTCAGTTTGAACCACAAGGTTCAAATTCACCAGTCATTCCTCAGAAACCCTATACAGGGCCGCTATGAGTCTGGACCAACTCAACAGCACTTAACAACAACATACAGCCCTTGGCCTTGACGGTCCCCACCCCTGCTATACGCGGTCACTATGAGTCAAAACCAACTGACAGTACTTAACAATAAATATAGTGCCATTAAACAGGAACAAACATTGAATCCAGAACTTGGGTACAAAAAGCACAGGATGGGAATAAGGGGGCTTTGAAGGGCCCACCTGCATGAGAAACCTTCTAAGGGAGGGAAAGCAATTCACAGGGAGGGCTTGCTATATGCCCCCTACAATCCTTCAAGTTAGCTATGATCATTCCCACTTTCCAGATGGAAAAACGGAGGCACAGAGCAATGAAGTGAATTGTCTGATTGACGTCAGATTGGGTTTTGCCCACCTTCTGGAGACTCATGGCTGACAGTGTTGCACCACAGCCCCTCTCTGCCATCAGACCACCCAGGCCTCTGAGTCACCTTCTGAATACCGTCTGTGTGTCTGACACCCTCTCCCCACCCCCCAAGTCACTAAATTCCCATCAGCCTACCTGATTCCTGACTCTGCCTCACTGCTGGATCCAGCCTGGGTCCCTGACACCATCCCTTCCCCCTAAAGTAAAGCAGTACCCTTCAAGTCCCCAAGCAGCTGTTTCCTGTCCCCACACCTCCCTGGCAGGACAGCAGAACAGCCTGTCATCACAGAGGACAGCCTGTGCCTCTCACAACTTGTTTTCAGGAAGTGGCCAGGGAAGAACTGGGTCGTGGAAAAAGCTGGAGCCGGCCGTCAGGGGTCTGAGCCTGCCTCCGACATAGCTGCTGTCTGACTCAGTCAGTCGGGGTCAGTTCCTGCCCCCGGGGCCGGTCACACCTGGATTCCAGGCCCAGGGACTTCAGAGAACAGCTGTGTGCCACCTCCTAAAACCCACACCGGCTGGAGCCTAGAGGCTGGACTGAGAAGGGGAAATAACTCCACTTTTGGCATTTACTCTGGGTCAGTCTCTGTTCTAAGCAGCTTATGAGAATTAATATTTGTTGTTATGTATAGTCGAGTGAATTGCAACTCATGTTGAAATTTCAACCCCATGTGACAGAATAAAATGGCCCCATAGGGTTTCCTAGGCTGTAATTCTTACAAAAGGAGTGCTGGTGGCAAAGATTAAAGAGGCGGTGCTTGTTACTAACCCAAAGGTAGGGAGTTGGAACCCACCAGCCACCGGTAAGGAAGCCTTTCTAGTCCTGGAAAATTTACCAAGCAGTTTTCCTCTATAGGATCCCTGGAAGTCAGATTCAACTGGAGGGCAATGGGTTTGAGTTTGGGAATCTTTATAAGAGCAGACTGCCAAGTCTTTCTGCTGAGGAGCCGCTGGGTGAGTTTGAAGCACCAACTTTTCAGTAAGCAGCTGAACTTAACCCTTTGCACCACCAGGCCTCCTTAGAAAATCCTCTGAAGTAGGCCTTATTATCATTACCCACCATCGTTGTGGTTGTTAGGTGCCATGGAGTCGGAACCGACCCATAGCGACCTTATGCACAGCAGAACAAAATACTGCCCGATCCTGGGCCAACCTCACTACTGTTGCAACTCTTGAGTCCATCGATGCTGCCACCTGGCCAATCAGATGGATAAACCAAGGCGCAGAGAGAGGAAATGACTTGCCCAAAGTCACACATTGACAGAGGCAGAATTTGAAGCCAGCAGTTTTAACCAGAGTTTCTGCCTTTGGCCACTATATTTGATCGTTTAGAAACAGTTGTCCAACCCAAGGGTGGGGAGTAGGGGGTGGGTGTGCACAGGGAGCTCAAGGGGGTGCGGCCCTCCCAGCCTACACTCAAGTCTGTCGCTGCGTGTGTTCCTGACTTGAGGGC